AAATTAACTCTATCCCAGCCGAAACCAGGACAGGAAGTCAGCAGAGAGGTAGGGTGTGAGTTACCTAGGAATTTAATAATGAGGAGGTCAGTCTTGCACTAAATTGCGCTACTGCAGCCAAATGGCTTTTTGGAAGGTATAGAGAGATAGGAAACTCAAACAAGTGTTGTAGTTGTTCATGGTACAGGTTCCTTGTGTGTTTTATATGCTATTGTCTTGTCTCTGAATGAAAAATTTGGTATGCATGTCATAACTCTTTTGTGGCCATTTTTCAAAAGTTTGGAGGCACAGAACTCAAGCTTATAGAAAGACAAGACACAAAATCTTTACCAGCATTACTAGAATGTTTATGATCAGTTTCCTTGGTTTGAATATAAAATTAAAATGAAAGTTTATTGATAAGCAATAAGACAGGCAGTTGTCACCTGTAAACCCATCTGACTTATTACTTGACTAGCCAATAATGCAACACAATGATCTTTAGTAGTAGATCTTAAAGTCCATTTGCATCATTATTTCCAGAGAAGAAACTGAGGTGTAAAGACTGATGTGATTTCTCTGGAAGTCAAGAAGAGAATCCAGGCCTCTTGCATCTCCTGTAATAAGTTGCATGCTTGTTAAGTAGCTCCTATTTGCCTCTCACCTTGCATACTGTTTTTTATTGGAATGAGGTATTGATTGTGCATTTTAATTTGTAGTTTGGAGTGTGTATTTGGTAACAAAGCTGGCATTAAAAGCAGACCTAGTTTGTCTCAAAATATCCATATAACATACAATAATTACAGTTGCTTCTTTAATACTGTTGTATATGAGAGGGGAATGGGGTGTCTCTTCTTTTTCCACTTACATATCTCTATCACTTTCCCTGTGACATATCCCATTCTTTCCCATTTCACCCTTCCTTCTCTGCTTGGTCTGCTACTCAATTTTGCACTTGCTGTTATGGGCAAAGATTCACTGGGGTCCATTCTCTTTAGGCCACTGATTTGATGAGTGGGGCTGGTAGGCCCTCTGATACAAACCCCAGTGCCAGCGCTGGCAGTGTCCCTTACCCCTTATCTTCATTTGCCCTTCACACAAAGCATTTCATTGTATAATGAGGGGGGTGGGGTGGTGGTTAGCTAGTTTTGAATTGTATTCTGTTACATTCCCCTGACATATCACTTAACCCAAAGTGGATTTTAGCATTGAGCGATGGGTCCTTTCAGATTTTGGTCAAGGGAAAGATTTGGACTAACTTTAGTCACAGTCAGTGTCCTTGAACAACCCAGCTCATGTATACACAGACTGGTTAAAAATACTCTGTCTATACATTAATATTATAATCTGTTTAGTATGTAACGTGAGTGTCTCTAGGGAAAAGCTCTTTTTGTATGCTGTTTTTAATTTTGCTATTCAAGATAGGTAGAGATGGCCTATTCTGCCTCTGTAGGGGTTCGGTATCGATGCCTCTGAGCTGAGCCTGAGTAAAACAGATAGAGGATTTACTGCCTTCTGAGAAACTGCGTTTACTGGTGGAAAGGGCAATGGAAGCATTTGGAGAACTGTTTAGAACTCCTGCTTTTCAAAGGTTGCGAACTGAGTAACTCCAAGTAGATGCACCAGCTTTCAAGGCAACTTGAATAAGATTTGGTGGCTTTATTATTTTTAGGTTTTACTGAACAGTTACTTTATATAAATTTTGTTTCTCATATACTTTTGCATCTTTTTTTCTAGGCCTACCTGACAGTATGTAAAGATGTCATAATGGTTGGCCTCGGAAATCTCACGTTTCAAGCACACCTTTTAGATATGGCTCTTTCAGTCATACAAACAGGTACAATATTTGAATTAACATCAACATCTCCATATACACTTAGCTGACTTTTCTTACATTAGCAGAACTGTTGCTTTTAGCATTTTGGAGCCTGTCTCAAAAAATGGTGCTTACTGCTTATGTTAGCTGGTACCAATAATATGGTCAGAAGTCACAGCAGCTTTTCAGAAAACTGAAAACAAGCAGAGAACTAACCCAGAACCATGTTACTAGCTACTGTTTCTTCTTTGCTCTTAGATTCCAGTTATTACTATATAATTCATGGGGTCTTATATATATAGAAAGTGATACATAGAGATATATATGTGTCTCTATATATATCAGTATGCCTTAGGAGGCAACACTGTAGCACTATTTAAATTTGGCTCACATTTGGAAAGTTATGTCTACAGTACAGGCAGAATTAGAGCTTGATTCCTGAAGAAATCTACAGTTTTAATCCCTATACTTCAAGGATTGGAAGGAACACTGGGTTTATACTTAAAACATTGATTGAACTGTATGAAAATTTCAGCTGAGGATCCTCAGAAACTAA